GCTTACATTCATTCTCTCCTTGAGTCCTCACATTTTTATGAATGAGGAAGTGAAGAAACCCAGGCTCAGGGAGGTTAAATAGCTCCTCAAACATCAGACAGCTAGTGTGTGAGGATTTCTGGCTTATCTGACTCCAAAGCTCACAATCCTAATTATTATTCTATATTATTTTTCAAATATAGAATGACTTAAAACATCTCCTGAAGTGAATGCGGTCTTTATTTATTGAAGCCTGCTTAGTAATGCTATAATCTGGGGCTACAGATGTGATTGAAGACCAAGGCCCTTGATCTCATGAGGCCGGCAGTGCAGGAAGGATATCATTAAATAGGTAGCACTAATTAATGACCATCTGGCAGGTGCTACCAAGGGAACATACAGTTTAAACTATTATCTGAGAGTTCAAGAGAATGGCTTATTCTTCTTACATGTGAGATTGATGAAGTGTCAGGTGTGAGACAGATTCCATACATGATGTTTTGACTGTCAGCTCTCTCGTTATTGTAAAACCTCTGTGCTTGTGTGGAGTAGCAACTTACCTTGGTAGGAAGAGAAAACTTCAGGGCCAGATGGGCTAGTTCTGTTGCTTACTAGCTGCAGGATCTTGGGGCACATTATCTTTTTTGAAGCTGTTGCTTCTGGATGAAGTAGGTCTGATTCTCAGGGCTATTACAATGGTACTTTCCATGTCTTTTTAGTCACACATTCATGCGTACAACTACAGCATATAATTATCTCATACATGCATTCAAGTAGAATAGAAAATTGTAAGTATTATCTTTTAACCCTTTAACTCATAACCACAAATGTTAGGAGTGGAGAACAACTTAATTGTATTGCATACACTGGGCGGCACGTGAGATGCTGGCATTTTTTTTGTATGATACTTTTTCTCAAGACTACCTGTTGTCTAAATTCATGTTTCATTGACATGACATGGACATTTGAGGTATCTCGAAATTAGTGGAAGTAGGGAATGTTTAATATATAGATTCTAGAGTCTATGATACTACTGCCAAGCTCTTAGAGAAGACTTAGCATATGGGGGTTGTCTAATAAGAATTTGCCATTCTTATTTAAACATTATCATGACCAACATCATCATGTGTACACATTCTGTTCATGTGCTTACTAACTTTATGGCCTGAGATCAATTAATTTCTCTTTGTACACCTCAGTATATTAATAGTATTTCCTCTTTGCATCTGAGGTGTGAGGATCAAGAAAAAATGTATGCAAGCAAATAAAATATATCATGTGAAAGCACTCTGTAATTATGGAGAGCTATCTAGTTTATTGTTGTTATAACCCTGTAATCATTTACTTAGGGCATGAGGACTCCAGCATCTAAGCACTCTAATGACCTGTCAGCATAGATTAAGGAAGAATACAAAAGTGTTGGGATAATGGAGGAAGCCTGGTCATGGATATCTATTTAGAATCCCTCAAATGTAAACATACGTATCATTTAGCTGATTCTAATCTTGTAGAGATTTTAAAATTTTGAATCAAATATAATTTTTTTCAAAAATGTATTTAGTATTTGAAGTATCAAAATGTTAACCATAAAATGAACACTGATCTAATGTGTTTGTTTCAAGAACTTAAAAGGAGTTTTCTGTTTGAGAGAGACCAAGGAGTTCTTCAGTAAGTCTTAAAATGTTTGAACCGGTATTCTTGGACCAGAGAAGTACTTAAAGATATAATCTGAAACATAGAAAAAATTATAAATAAATAAATAAATAAATAAATAAATAAATAAATAAATATATATATATATAGAGAGAGAGAGAGAGAGGGAGAGAGGAAAGGTTTTTTGCAATAGGGTACGTGCATTTACCAGAAAGACACAGAGAGACTGAGACACAGAAAGTGAGAAATCACCTCCTTGGGGCGATGGCCATGCTGCAATTCCTTCTCCTCCATTCTCCTCTTGGGATCTGGGATGGGCACGTATGAGTTTAAGCCACCAGGTCTGGGACTCAAATCGCAGTCAACTACATGGGAGTCCAGCGGTGTAACAATTATACCATCTGCTGGTCCCTATTTTTAAAATATAATGATTTATTTAATTTATTTATTTATTTTTAAAAATTGCTACAGTGTATGTGCACTGGCCAGAGAGAGAGAGAGAGAGAACAAAAAAGCAAGCCACCAGGTCTGGGACTTGAACCTCAGCCATGCGGGAGTCTCGTGTCCTAACCACCACATTAACTACTGGCCCTGAAAAATACATTCTTAACATGACCCATTCTTAAATGAATTGGCATGCCATCTCTTTCTTTCCCCTTAACTATTGTATTGTCCTTTTCTCTGGGTTTTTGTAGTTCCCCTACTGCGGCTACATAAGTCTGGGGTGGAGAGATTTCTGTGATGAGACTGTCTTGTTTTGCATGAATTTGATGTCTTTGGTATAGGTCCAGATATAGCTAGTAACCTAAATAAAGATGGTGAAATCTAGTATTCTATTTGTCAGTTCCATACAGCTGTTTACCTCCGGTGAAATAGGTAGGAAAGTAGCCAGGTGTAGTTACGCTTTGTGTCCCTAGCTGCAGGGTCCCTGTTTTAAGAAAGCAATGTTAAATTTGAAACCTTTCATTGAAGAGCAATGTAGAAGAAATAAAGTAGCTGAGAATTCAAAGAACTTTAGTTCAGGAGAGATGCAAGTCAACTTCTGGAGAGTGGGAGTAAATTGGAATCACAAAGGTAGCTAGTTGTAACACAGGGGAACAATTTGCTTTATGAAGAAAGAACTCTTTTTTTTTTTTTCCCCCTAATGATTGAACTGTGACAGACTGACTTGTGTTGCAGAGAGAGTGATAGCTGACCAGTGGTTTCTAATTGCAATCTTCTTTTGGCAGTGCTAGTTCTAATAATTTTAGCTCTGGGTGTTCTTAGCAAAACTTGGCAGTTATAAGGGCCTGTTTTTGAGGAAGTACAGTAAAGCAGCTCAAATTTTTAGCAAAAAGTTTTTATTTGAAACAGACTAGAAAAGATCCATTTTTATTCACAGTAAATAATATCAGAAAAAGAAAGTACAGGGCTATAAGAAAGGAGACACAATTTACATTAATTGTGGGAAATAAGATTCCATACTTTTGTACTATTAGAACAATAAGGAATTCAGGTAGCTGTTTAGATAATAATCATCACAATTCCATGGCTTTCATATCTATGAGCAATAAAATGTGAGACTATTATAAGAAAAATATTCATTTGTGATTGCGACTGAAAAAAAATAAAACAACACAAAGCTTATGGCAATGTAGAAAGTAAACCTCAAATTGAGTAATGTGTGTAGATTCTTTAAAAATTTAATTAGCTATTTCATTTAACTGTAATCTCAATTTCATCTTGAAAAGTAAAGAAGTGGATAAGCAGAAGCTTAGGAAGGAATAATGCAAGCAACGTCCTGTTCAGAGAGAGAACTAGGCTGTGGTGTTACCGCAGTTGGAACAGTGCAGTGTCACGGGCCAGCAGGTGGAGTGGTGGTTAAGGGTGCTGGAATCCTACATCGCTGACCACTGTTCAATTCCCAGACCTGGCAGCTTGCTTTCTCACTTTCTCTCTCTCTGGTCAAATAAGTAAATAAAGTTAAATAAAATAAATTCTTAAAAAAATAAAAATTATAGCAGCGGCATACTCAGTTGACTAAAAGATGAATGGGGCGTAGTGAGAACACTGGATGATCCCCCAAAACAGTGGTTGCAATTATTGCAGAGACCCTAAAGATTCCTAGAAGTGCCATTAGTCAGCAGAGCCACCCCAGACTAAATATGGGGTCTCTGAGCTCTCTCATCTCCAGCTGAACAAATACAGCTCTGCCTTTGCGTGTTTTGTGTGCCCACATTTATATATAGGTTTCATATCTTGAAAAGATTGCATTGCCCTAGTATTAATTTGGTAGAGGGTATGTGGCCTTAACACAAACCAGGTGGGGAAATGTGGTTCACTAATAAGAGGGAGGCCTTAAGTTAATACTTCATTTTGGTACAAAAATATGTTACATGTAATTTAAAAAAAATTTAAAAATATGGGCCAGCAGGTGGAGTGGTGGTTAAGACATGGACTCCCACATGGCTAACAGTGGTTCTAGTCCCAGACATGGCAGCTTGATTATTTCACCGGGTGAGTGTGTGTGCATGCCTCAAAATCCCAAGAGCAGAATGGAGGAGAACGGATTGCAGTGTGGCCATTCCCTCCCCCCCAGCATGCGCGCACACACACACACACATGCACACACATATCTGGGGTACTTTCTCACTTTCCCTCTCTCTGGCAATTACACTTGCCCTATGGCCAAAACCTATTAAATAAATACATAAATATATAAAAATACTTGAAAGAAACTTTTGTAGGTATTTGCATGTTCTCTGGATGAAAAAAACTTAAGAATATTAAGGCAGGAGAAGCCAATGGGAAAGGCTGGTGAAGTTGCTTGCATAAAAGTGGAAAAGTACATATCACCCTAGAAAATCCCAAACAACCGTCAAGGTCAAGTAGTGCCTCTTGACCAGGAGACTGTTAGGACAGAGGCTGTTGGGCCAACGGGCAGTTCCTCAGTCTAGTGTTGGGCCTGGTAGCTTAGGATGTCACTGGACTAATGGTGGTTCTCTACCTGCCTCTAGTTTAGAGTGTGGCTGCCTGTGAGTCTGATTCACGTCTCTGCCATGTGACACATTATTTCGACAGTATCTATGTTTTGTTCTGTGAAGGTAATTTCTCCTTATCTTTTGTTCTATTTATGTTTACATAGCTAGTTCAGTAAAGCTTGTTCCCACCCAGGAACCTCTCCTTCTCTGTCACCTTTCTCTGTCTTGCAGGAACTGAGGGTGGCTTCTGGTGTTTTGTGTGGCTCCATCATTTCCTTCCTGCCTCTCATCCACTTCATGATGTAATTCTTGGCACTTTTACTTCCTTTGTAGAGTAGGATGTGATGTCATAGAGAAGGGGACAGGGCTATCCAAATTCTCTCAATTGCTGGGAGGAGCTGCCCAGGTGTGCTGAGGGGCCTGTACTCAGGAAGAGAAACAGGGAATCCTCCACAGTGAGTAACCCCACTTTCGAGTGCACCCAAATTTCCATAAAAGCATTGTTCAGTACACTGGCGTTTCCTCTTTGGCCCTTTCTAGATTTAATCAGTTTGCCTGTAGACATTCCCAGTTCAGCTCAATTTTCCACCTTTCTTTCCTTTCTCTGTTCTTCCTCTTTCTACCATCCTATACCTCTCCCCTTGTTCCCTTTTCTTGCCTGCTTATGTGTTTGTGTGTACTGACCTCTGCCCATTATCTTTTATGAGAGACCATTGGTGTTTCTGGCATTGCCTCTCGTTTGGGGTGACACCCCCCTATATAAGTCCATGAGACCCTAGCATCTCCTCTCAGTAATTCATAATTACGTACTGTTCTGCTTATGGTTGTGCTTATTTTAACAATTCTGTCAGCTTTTGTTTTGTTTTGTTTTGTTTTCATGTCTATTTATTTCTCCCTTTGTCTGTATCTAATCTTTTCCCCTTTTCAGCTCTTTTATGCAGTTTCCTTATTGCCTTTTTCCCCCCAATATTTTTAGACTTTACTCCTCTTCCCTCTACAGTTTTGCTTGGTTCTTTTTCCCCTTTCCCAGTTTTGGGCTCAGTTCTCTAGTGTCCTCCTCTGTGAGGGTCGTTTTCCTTCTTTCCTGTTGACATACTAGTTGCCATACTCTCTGTCTAGTATGGCTCAATTTTCAATATTCTTTAAAGAACTTACTATAAGTAAGGGACTGATCAGGATTGGGAAAAATGGGGAAATTGCTTGGAAACTGGAAAAGGGAGACTAGGAAAGCTGCCTGAAGGTAAGAAGGAACAACCTTTGTGTAACTCATTGAGGACCTTGTGAACAGAGCTCGTGAACTATTGGAATCTGGCCATTGATAAGGGAACATATTTGAAGTCTTTTCCATCTTAAGTTTTTAGGATGACCCCTTAATTCTTAGCTGTGATGATCCTTCTAGTCCATAATCATAAATTATAGAGCTCTAGTATCTTTCAGTTACATGGGACCATGACTTGGGCATGAAGCACCTGTATTAGAGGTCTTCAAAGAGTTCATGGAAAATGCCTTTTATGAACAAACCATGCAGGGATTTCAAATATGGTTTATACAAGGTGAACTTATACCTTAATTCTACCTTTTTCCACAAACTTTTTGAAACCTCCTCATATAATTTTTTTTAAAGTAGGCTTTGTCTACCCTTGGAGGAGTTTACTGTGAAGACGTGTGTAGACTGGTTGCTTGTACCCATATCTGGGTGTCCCATGTTGGAGAGTGGTGTGGACACTGCTGCTTATTGTTTCCACTTCATGGGGTTACATCCCTGGATAAATAAAGTAACCCAATTTCGAAGGCTGATGTTCTAATGCCTGTGAAAATAATTAGCTATGTCCCATAGACTCTCCGCCCTTTCTTTAAAAAAAAAAATCCTTCCTCCCAAAACAATAGAGTAAAAAAGGAGAGAAAGAAAATGGGGCTGAATTCATGAAACTGAGATGGGCTGAGCGGGAAGAGGAAAGGGTTTACATGAAATTAATTGGAAAAGGCAAAGAAAAGGAAACTGAGCTGAACTGGAAAACACAGTATCGAGTTAGCTAAGCTCCTGTTTGCCATTTTCAACATTTTGACCACGAAGGTTTTTCTTCTCCCTCTTTTATTTTATTTTATTTTATTTTATTTTATTTTATTTTTAATACAGGAAGTGGAGCAAAGTATGTATCCAGTCAGGTTGTTCCTGACCAGCACTCTGTTCTTCCCTAATGATAATATTCAGGCTCCATGTTTCCAGGCTTCTGGAAACTTAGGAAGCATTTTTAATAGCCTGAAAACATGTCTTTAGCCATAAATTATGAGCACATTTTAAAATAAAGGAAATTTCATGCATTTATTAATCTGGTTTCCTTAGATTTCCCATTTCTTATTTTGAGTGTGTATGCCTTTGTGACACTTTTTGAAGAATGACCCCTATACATGTTGTAGAAATTGGCAATTTACATATCCAGAAAAAATGATATTCTCCCTTTAGATACTTGAGATGTGTGATAAGACCTTTTTGACATAAAAATCCCTTCCCCTACAAACTTTAATAAGCAACTTGCATGATTAACGCATTTTTGTTTTCTATGCTTCTGTGCAGTAATCTAGGAATCTTATGTTTATGTTTATTTTTTAGGCACTAGAGAAACACCCCAACTCACCAATGACAGCAAAGCAGATACTGGAAGTCATTCAGAAAGAAGGGTTAAAAGAAACAAGGTCAGTATTCATATTTAAAACAGCTTCCTTCCGGTTTCATTGAGTAGTAATTGCCACATTTGGATTGTGAATGAATTAACTACCTGCAAACATTTTTGCAATTGTGATTTCCTTGGAACTCCCTGTTGTTACATTGGAAGGATTCCACAGTTTGATTTAGCCCCTCCCTGGAGTTATTCCTGTTTCTATTTCTTGAAGGAGGAGACAATGTATCTGAAAGTGAATAGTGAAAGAGAAGCACTTTCCTGGGCTGAATAGATCCCAGGATATAGAAATGACCTCATTCATAAAATTCAAAGTGCCAATAATTGCAGTTGAAAATTGGATTTTCTTATATTTAAGGACTCTACTCTTTTTTAAAAAATCAGTTAATGAACCTTTTTTTAAAATAAATTTTATTGAGATAGGATGCACATGCTATAAATTTATCCTTTTAAAATGTACACTTCGGTGGTTTATATTATATATATTAAGTTGTGCAGTCATCTCCACTATCTAACGTTCGAACTTTTCATCACCCTAAAATAGAATCCTGTCCTCATTAGCAATCACTCCCCATTCCTCACTTCCCCTGCTACCACTAATTTTCTTTCTGTATCTATGGACTTGCTATTCTGGACATTTCATATAAAGGGGATCATGCAACATGCAGCCTTCTTTCACTCTGTGAATTTTCAAGGCTTCTTCATGTTGTAGCGTTTATCTGGGCTTCATTCCTTTTTGTTTCCAGATAATATTCCATTGAATGGATATACCACATTTTGTCTATCCACATTCATCCTGCATTTTTATTTACAGTGTTTTAACGTTTAGGCTTTACCCAGCAATTTAGGGTCATGTAGATGTTATCACTCAAAGATTAAAAACAAGAGGCTTATTACAGGAAAAAAAAATAACTACGATAAGGTCATATGTGTATATGGTCATTTGTATATGCAGTCAATCATATTACATAGACTTGATTTTTTTGTATGTGTGTTTTCTATATTTAAGTCTTGGAGACTACAGTGGTTTGAGCTACTATCTTAAAGTTTAGATTGATATTGAGACAGAATTGCTGAGGGAAATGAATATCCTCCAGAGGACAGCTTTCCTAAAAAATAGGTTTCTCTGTAACTTTAAAGTGTCAGTAACATCATCCTGTAGCTGGTTAAAAGATATCTTTTGTAAGTTAAATCCATGGTCATCACAGTTTAGTGGGGCATAGCACACATGTTTTGTCTCTGATTTCGAGGCATTTTCTGCCTGTGCTGAAGAAAAAGCCTAAGATAATATAACGATGCTGTGTTTGCAGTAATTGTTCCCCCATGAAGTGGAGGCAGCAGTGTGGAATTTAGTTATTGGCAGTGCCTAACGTCTCTGTTAAAGGAAATTCTACTCTAAGCCAGATGTCAGTGTGAGGAGTTAGAGAACAAAATGAAGAAAACTAGAAATTAATTTCCTCCTTGCTGCCTGTCAATTACCTTGAAAATATTTATACTGTTTAGAAAGCACTGAAAATGTTTATGCCACAGCCAAAAAGGAAAAAGGGGGTAAAAGTCTAAGGATAATAACTCCTGTCAAATGTGGGCTTGGTGCCAGAGGAACATGGCAACACAGACATAGAAAGCATCTCCTATATGCAGACATTTGAAATTCGTTCATTAAGATATTCTGCTCCACGGGAGTAACTCAGCTGCCATCAATTATTGTGTACCTTGAGATACAAAATTCCTGTATCTTGGCTCTCAACAGCATTTTAATTACACTTATTATCATAACGACATTATTTCCTTTTTTGAAAATGCTGGTCCTCTTAGATGAAACATTAAAGGGCGTTTTATCATACATAGTTAGCAAAACTTAACAAAATATCCCCAAAGAAAACTATTTATTTATTTACTTACTTACAGAGAGGGTTTTGCTATAGGGTGCATGCATTCACCAGAAAGACAGGGAGAGATAGAGAGACAGAAAGCGAGAAATCACTCCCCCCCAGGGGGGGTGGCTACCCCACAATCTCTTCTCCTCAATTCTCTTCTTAGGATCTGGGGCACGCATGCACATGCACCCGGCGTGAGTTTAAGCCACTGAGTCCAGGACACGAACTGCAGTCAACTACATGGGAGTCCAGTGACATAGCCATTATGCCATCTACTGGTCCTTGCTTGCTTGCTTATTTATTTATTTATTTATTTTTGTGAGTTTTTTTGCCTTAGGACCCGTGTGCTCATGAGACAGACAGAAACAGTGATTGGGTGGGGATGGCCACATCACAATCCCTTCTCTTACACTCTCCTCCTGGGATCTTGGGCATGCATTCACATGTACCCGGTGTGAATGTTAAGCCACCAGGTCCAGGGCTCAAACTGCAGGAGGCCATGTGGGAATCCAGCAACAGAACTGCTACTCCATCTGCTGGCACCCAAACAACTTATTTAAAGAGTAAAGAGTATGGATATGGGAAACATATCCTCAATATCTATAAATGTACCTCTTCATCTTCCCATTTCCCAATACTATCATGTCCTATGAGAAAAAATTGCCTGTTACTGTAAATAATGATCAACTAATAGAGTGTTACTGAAAGTATTTGCAAGCAGTTCCAAGGTCAATACAAAAGGAAAAAGGCAGAGAAAGAGAGCACAGTTGTTTTTAAGTTTTCTTCTATAAAGTCAACTTTGCATTGCGTGGATTCAGACTACATAAGTTGTGTTTTCATTTCTTATTTGGTTTCTTTAAACCTCCTTCAGTCACCTGTTCACCTTTATTTATTACCCAAGTACTTTTGCTCACCCTTCCCTTGTTTTCTAGTTCCAGTTTACTTATTAGAATTCCCTCTAGCATAATCATATGTAGATTTTGAGAGAGTTTGAGATTAGTCCTATATGTTTGTATGTTGTTTTAGGGAGCAGATACTGACATTTATTTTGTGTCTACTTAATGTACTGTTTTGCTACTTTCCAAGTTCTTAAATGCTTTCCAAATATTTAAGGTTGCTGAGCAAATGGAGTGTAACTGTATTTATTTTTCTTCAGTAAAGTTTAGAAATTCCACCATCATAAGGTCAAACGTAGCTGATTAATTTCTAGATATTTATTAATGGTATGTTTTTGCAAGAAATGCAAGTTGGTGTAGTGCCTGCTTAAAAACAGAGAAAGGATTGTGAATTTACTAATGTGGTTATAGCCCTTTGGGGGTGTATGGTTGAGAAGTAAGGTTAATAGTCCTCTGCTAAACAGCCTACCACTGTACCTCACATTTCTAGGAATAAAAGATAGAGACTTTATCCATTATCAGTCCAACTCAGACTTAAACTAAGACTTGTATTTCAAGTATTAGGGTTCTTCATTTTCTGTGTGCTAATATTAACTTTGCTGTACCATAATTTTGTCCTTGTATACTTTCTCTGTCTGTGAGCTTTTTTAAAAACATAATATTTATTTTATTTTATTTGTTATTTATTTATTTTAATTTGACCAGAAAGAGAAAGTGAGAAAGCAAGCTTCCAGGTCTGAAACTCACAATGCAGTAGGTCATGTAGGAGTCCAGCACCTTAACTACCATGCCACCTGCTGGCCTCTATCCGGAGCTTTTTAAGGGCAGAGTGTCTAATACTCTTCATGCTTAGTAGTTACTCAATCCATCATTGTTGAATAAATAATCTTCTTTCTCAAAATGTCCTTTATGATAACTTTGGCTTTCATTCAGTTAGAGGCTTCTTTTTAACATTTCTTGTTGTAATTTTTTTTCTATTATGTAGTTTTTTGTTCATTTGTTTGTTTGTTTATATATATGTGTGTATGTGTGTGTGTATATATATATGTATATATATATGGGTACACTTTTGGGGGATTCCTATTACAGATAGGCCTACTGATAGGTTCTAGTAGATTATCCCTGAACAAATGAAGTTACTGGGTTGTTACTCATTTGCAAACACTGTTAGAGCCATAGGTTGACTTGTAACAATAATTAGAAAAAAGAAACAATATCAATACTTTTTTGGCAAAGCTGATACAGTATATGAGTGTTCAATACATATTGTTACTTTATTTGATTGAGAAGACATTCTTCACATCCTATGCTGTATTTTAATCTCTAGTAATACTTTAAATTACACACTTTTTATGTAAACATGATAAAAAGAGGACACCTTTTCTACATCATGTTCTGTGTATTGTCTTCAAGTTATTGATGAAATGTGTAGAGTATGATTAAACTCTATTTGGGAAATCTAGAATGAAATACTTTCCATGTGGTTTTAAAGAACTTATATGAATATTTTTCAGAAATGTGTTTTTTGTTGGAAAAAAATCATATTATTATAGCATGATTTTGCTAGACCTGGTTTGCTTTTTAATAAAAATACATTTGGTAAGGTTTACCTCCACTTTGTATAATAGGATAGAAGGCTTCTTTATCAATATAATTTGCTCCCAGCCCATCTATATACTTGCTTTGCTGATTCTGAGTATTTCAAGGCTTTGGTTCCTTTGTGTGTATTGGTTGTCTACAGTTGATCAATCATAATTGCTTGGAATGTTTTTCAGTTGGTCAGAGCCTTATAATCAGTCAAATAGCCATGAGGCTTGTATAGAGGAATTAAAATGTACATATTCCAGTCTGCTGCTTTTGTGGGTGGATATTTGATATTCCTACTTGGACTCCTTAGCTAAACATTTCCACTTCCTCAGGGAGGTAGGGTGCTGCTGGAGAATGTGTTCTGGTCTGCAATGAGAAAGAACATTGATGTAGAAGAAGAGGAGTTACTTTGCTGTTAACTATGCGGTTTTAGATGGTTTTGGGGATTGTCCCAGTTCTGCTTTTCTGTTTTTGATTTGGTTAATCAGAAGCTATCATTCCTTTACAAAGAGGACTGAGGGGTTTTTGTTGCTTGAGGGTGAATTTTTCTGCCATGTCTTATGCGATTTTTTAAAGGGATGCGTCCAAAGAAACGTGTGCTGTGTTGCAGTGACATATCCAGGGCTGTAAGTTCGTGGGGGTGAGGCAGCATCACTTACTGAGTGAGAGCGAAATGGTCATTCATCAAGGAGGACTGACTGTTTATGTGCTGGGCATGATCATTTCAAGAGATCTGTCATGAACATAGCTTGAGCCATGTTACAGTTTTTATATTATTTGGTAATAGGCAAATAGCTTCTAGTGGAGGTGAAGTGGTCGTGAAATACAAAAATAAAAATAAAAAAACCTGCACTAACAAACCACACCAAGCAATAAAAATACCGTTGTCGAGTTGGGGGCAAGGCAGTAGGTACAAGTTATGTTTGTACAGAATTATATCAATAGATGCCTTTATCAAATCTATGTTACATTTTACCAACTATTTACCGAGCAGCAGCCTAAACTTGTACATCTCAGTAGAAATCTTTAAAAATTTTACAGTCTCTGTTGTGTTCAGTATCACCCAGAATATGGACAACCTCAGATCTTGGAATTATACCAGTACAAAGGAGAATTTTTTTTTTATTCTCACTGACAATTCTTAGAATAAATTTGTTTCTACTACCTTGTTTAAGGCTTTTTGTGTTTTCTGTTTGGAAATCTCTCTTATGATATGCTGAAATGAGGACCTCCACTTTGTACCATGGTTTATTAAAGAGGTTGCATTTTTTAAGGGGATAAAATGTCAGAAATTCTATTACCATGTCTAGTGACAAACAATAAAATTTCTTGGCATTGCTCTCGGCGAGATTTACGTTGCTAATTAGTGCTATAGGAGATGATTCTTTTTCGCTGCTGAAATGTTTTGTCTAGAGATAAGAAAGAAACACAAATAATTTCTATTGCAAAATCAATTCTTATCTCCAGACTCCATGTTGGCATCCTTCCTTAATACTGAAATCGTGGTCTACTTTGTTTGCATTGGGGCATTTTAGAATTATAGTGTAAGTTCCCAGTGTCATCCTGCCAATTGTTAACATCTAATTCTCTCATTGTGCAAATGGTATGCACAGTGGGCTACTTAGAGAGGGATCTATGAGACAATGGTGTTACTAGACAGAAACATAGGGCAATTTGCATATATTTATGTGCATGTACATGTGCATGAGCAAGCCTCTAGACTGATCTAGCCCTTAATTGACTGAGAAGTTTACTGTCATCATTACTCAGATGACAAATCTCAATCAGAGTCATTCTGAAGTCTCTTCTGCCACAGTCTCATGACCAGCTGGTTCTTGGGTGGTGCTCTGCTTTCTAAGTACATCTTCCTCTGCATTTTTGCTCATCTTCAAGCATTTCTCATTTCTTATCTGGTCAACGATCCCCCTGTTTCTTCCTTTTCAAATTTATATGTTGCCTCAATCTGCCACTGTCACTTGTAGTGGCATTTCTTGACTGATGATCCATAATATCCTAGGGAATATATCACATGTTGTAAGATATGATTCAAAAGCTGTTGTCAATTATATGCTTGGTGACAATGAGACAAAAGTAGGAATGGTACTGTATTTCTGGTTACATCGCATCTGGATAAATCCACGATATTCTTAGAATATAGGCTCATGATAGAGATGATGTAAACATACATTTTGCTTCACATGTAGATGCAATTTTGAGTTTCTAATCTGGTCATTTTTATATACATTTGGTTTCCCCCAAAATATTTAAAGTATTTATTAGTATTGTATGTTTTCTGTATGATTATTTATTTTTAAATTAAATGTTGTAGCATTGATTAAATAAGAAGCCAAAGTTTAGACATGAGAACCAGTCATTGTTTATAAATAATTTTGTATTCTGTTACAAATTCAGCTTTTTCAAAGAACAGTTTTAATGTAGTGACAAAATAATTGAAATAGTTCTTGAGGGAGATGATAAGACTATTTATTTCTGTGGAAGCATTTCCTGACTTAAGAAATAATTATGTGAAACATGACCTTACAGGATCAGGTTCCAACTCCTCAGCACAGAACTAATCAGTGTGGACTTGGGCAACTGTGAAGCCTTTATCGTCAAGCATCTGCTATCACAGAAGAAGTTCATTTGCCTTTCATTTTGATATTCTCTCCCCACCTCCTACCCCCTTTTTATTATTTGGAAGTAGAAGGCGCCCCATAAGTCATGCATGAACATGTCTCATGTGTGTGCAGTTGTGTGGATGTTCATGTATGTTCATGGATGTACACGTCCATACGCTCTTCTGATCATTACCCCATTGTTGATATAACAGTGGATTGCTCAGTGGCAAGGAAGAACTTTTGGACAAAACGCCTCACAGTAATGGATTAAGTTTGTAACAGTACTCCTGGTTTACAGACGGGAGTCATGTTCATAGTGATTATCTGAGGCCATTCAGACTGCCTTACAAAGTAGCGTAGACTGGGTCATTCAAACAACATGAATACATTTATTTTCTCACAGTTCTAGAGGCTGGAAGTCCCAGATCAAGGTCTGATAGGGTCAGTTTCTGGTGAGGGCTCTCTTCCTGGCTTGTAGCCAGCTGCCCTCATGCTGTGTATGTCCTCCCGTAACTTTTCTTGGTGCATTTGGAGAGATAATGGGAGCTCTCTGTGTCTCTTATAAGGACACTAATCCTATCATGTAGGGCCCTACTCTTATGACCTCATTTAACCTTCCTGACTTCCTTAGAGGCACCATCTCTAAACATAGCCACACTGAGGGTTAAGGCTTTAAACAGGAATTTTAGGGAAACATAAATATTTAGTCTATAATGCGATTCAGAAATTGGAACATTTCCAGAATTCATGGCCTATCATATTTCTAGAACTTTGAGTATCTAATGCTTCTTGGAAGGTATTCATACTAAAATGCTTAACACAGTACCGTGTTTCCTTTTTTTGTGTCCTGCTAATGCGTTTTCATATGTTATTACTAACATATAAACCAATGAAATACTTGGCTTAAGAAGTTTCATGTTCAAGTATAATGTGTATATTCATATAACATAAATTGATTTGGATTTTATTTGAAGCCTTTGGTAAAAATAGCTGTGGTAACTGCATATAACCCTCAAGGCATCCATATTCACTAGGCTATGCGATTATAGCTATAAAATGGCCATTTCGTAATACATCTTTTGCTTCTGTCAAGCTTTCTTTCTCCATTCTTCCAAATAATTGAACAAAAAAAAAAGAGGTAATTTAGGTGATTTCAGCTTTATCAAGATCTGGGTATAATTTACTCCAGAAACACTGAACACTCTATAAATATTTCAGTGCAGAAATAGGGCCACAAAAAGAGATGAAATTACATTTTGTGTGAGTTTTTCTAAGTATCGTATGTGCATGAAAATCTTTGGGGAGGAATAGGCATTTTACTAGAGTGATTTTATTTAACATTTTCTAAGTGGTGCTTTTCTCATCTCTTATTTTATTGTCTGTGCTCTTAACTGCCACACACCTAACTCATTTTAGTTTTGCTGCATTGTTTTGAACTTGACAGTGTAATTCAAATACAGAACAGTCGATATGACGACATGGGGACTGTTTATAGTTGATCTGTTTTCA